AGCTCACAGCAACCTCTAGCTCTTAGGTTGGGCTTAGGCGATTCTCTTGCCTCAGCCTCCCAAGTAACTGGGACTACAGGAACCCACCACAATGCCAGCTATTTTTTTGTTGCAGTTTGGCGAGGGCTGGGTTTGAACCCACCACCCTCTGTATATGGAGCCGGCGCCCAACTCACTGAGACACAGGCTCCGCCCTTCTTTCTTTTTTTAGATAAGAGTGCCACTTTGTCACCCTGGGTAGAGTGCTAAGGCATCATCATAGCTCATAGTAACATCAAACTCCTGAGCTTAGGTGATCTTCCTGCCCTAGTTTTTCTGTTTTGAGTAGTGACTGGGTCTCGCTTTTGGTCAGGCTGGTCTCAATCTCCTAAACTCAGGCAATCTACCTGCTTTGGCCTCTCAGAGTGTTGGGACTACAGGTATGAGCCACCATGTCTGGCCTAATCCTTTAATTTTTAATTAGAATTCTACTATAGCAAAGACCAACCCTCCTCCCCCACTTACTAAGTTATTCATCAATTGATATTGTATGGACTTTGGGGCATTTATTTGAACATGAGGTTGTCATCTGTTACTGTTATTGTTGTCTTACCCTACCTTGGACTCTGGCCATCAGAAGCTCCTTGAGAGGGAGCCTGTATGTCCTTTAAAGGTGCCCCATCACTGTTTGAGTGCTCCTTGATTTCTGCTGCCACAGCACGCTCTGGGATCATTTTATGGAGAGTGCTATTCACACATCAGGATGAACGCAGCAGGTGTGCTTGTTGCTACGGGGAAGTCGGTGGTTGTGCAGGAAGAGTGAGGAACAGGTGTCTGCACTTAAACCTCTGTGTCCATCTGCGCATGCACTGAGAGCGCCAGGCTGCTGACGTCACATGCTCCATGGGTTCTTTCTAACCCTCTGACCCCCGCGTGCACTGTGGGGTTCTTTCTAACCGTCTGACCCCCACGTGCACTGTGGGGTTCTTCCTAACCCTCTGCTGTCCTGACTCTTATCCCCACTCTCTTTAGCCCAGCATCCTCATTTGATTAACCCTAATATTCACATAATTTCAGACTTGCTAGCCCACATTCCTATGAGACAGAAATGTGTCTTCAGCCTTAATATCATGCACCCAAAATGTTGTTTTCCAGAGTTCCTTATTTTCTCCTCTTTCGTGCCACCTTCAGTGTGATTGTTACTCTTTTGTAACAACATTCACTTGTTAGTGTTTATATTGCATTCTGAGTTCTTGGCACCTTGGTCAAGCTTACCTGTGACTCTTTGTTACTTATTTAACAACTTGGTAAAAATTCCAGTATGTTGGCCAGGTGTAGTGGCTCACAACCTGAGCAAGAGACCTGGTCTCTACTGAAAATGGGAAAACTAGCTGGGCGTTGTAGCAGGTGCTAGTAGTCCCAGCTACTGGGAAGGCTGAGGCAAGAGGATTGCATGAGCTTGTTGTGAGCTGTGACACATGGCACTGTACCCAGGGCAGCAGAGTGAGACTCTGTCTTAAAGAAAAAATGCCTGGCTTGGGACCTGTAGTTCAGTGGCTAGGGCGCCAGTCACATACAGGGACCGAACCCAGGTGGGTTTGAACCCAGCCCGGGCCCTACCAAACAACGACAACTACAACAAGAAAATAGCCAGGCGTTGTGACAGCCGCCTGTAGTTGGGAGGCTGAGGCACCAGAATCGCTTAAGCCCAAGAGTTTGAGGTTGTGAGCTGTGACACCACAGTACTCTACCGAGGGTGACATACTGAGACTGTCTCAAAAATAAAATAAAAGTCGGTATGTTGGCAATAGGACCAATCTTGTGAAACATCTTTATAAAATTCTCTGTTATCTTGGTTTCTGCTTTGCTTTTTGAAGTTAGATCTTTTTTCTCACTGTGTAAGTTGTACATTGATGATGACTGGCTCTTACTGCAAGGTGACGCAGTATGGAAGGCAGGGAGGCCCATGCTTGGCTGGGAGAACTTTGAGTGGATGCCTGAGCTCCTAATTGCCAAAGAAAGAAAATCAGGGCCTCTAGTCCTTTTCCAGCTCCCAAAAGGCATACAGGAATTTGTCCCTGAGTGTCCTCTTTTTTGCCTGCCACCTTTCATTCAGCAAAGTTACGCTGAGATGCTTCCAGGTTGCTCCCGTATCAGTGGTCCGTTCTGATCCTGCCAGTGCTCTCAAGTGTGGGTCGACCACGGCGTAGTCATCATTACCCCACGTGCACGTTGTAGTGGCAGCCAGGTAGGGCTGTTACAGATAGTCACACAAGTCCCCTGTGCACCTGTGCTTTCGTTTCTCTTGGATAAATGCCCAGAAGCCAAACTTCTAGATAACATTGAAGGTATTAAGAAACTACCACACTTTTTCAAAGGAGGTGACTGTTGTACGCTTCCATCAGCGGTGGACGATAGTTGCTTCCGTTCCTCTGTGTCCCTCCTCATTCTGAGAGGTGTGTCCGGTTTAAATTTGCATTTCCCAACAACTGGTGATACTTTTATATGCTTATTTGCAATTCATGTATCTTTGAAAAAGCTCTCATTCATATCTTTTGCCTAGTTTTTGACTGGGCTTTCTTTTACTGAGTTTTAGGAGTGGAGTTCTTTATGTATTCTGGATGCATTTTAAAACGTTTTTGCCTCAACTTTTCATTCTCTTTTGAAAAGCAGAAATTTAAAATTTTGAGCAAATCTAATGTATCAGTTTTTTCTGTTTGTGGTTCTTGTTTTGTCTTTGTCCTCCTCCCAGATCTTTGACCAGGTTGTTTTAGCTTTTCTGCATTCAAAAGAATGTTTTATACAGGGTGGCCATAAAATTCGGCACACTATTTTAAATTGCACACAGCTTTATGGCCACCCTGTGTATTACAGATCCTTGCTGTTTTTCTCCTCAGAATAATTGCTGAGAAGTATGTAGTTCATCATTACCAGAGCAGAAGTCAGGTCTGTTTCTGTCCAATCAGGTTCTATTAAAAAAAGAAAAAGCCAAGCGTAGTTGTGTGTGCCTGACTAGTCCCGGCTACTCCGGAGGCTGAAGTAGGAGGATGGTGTGAGACCAGGAGTTGAGGCCAGCCAAGCAACGTGGTGAGACCTAGTCTCCAAAAGGAAGAAAGGGAGGGAGGGGAAAATGCTTTGTTCTATAAAATAATTTTTCTGAAGACTGAAATTTGAGCTTAGTTTAAAATACTTCATTACAGTCACGTGACTTTGTCTGACACCCACGACATGTTTACATTTCACAGGTTTGTGTTAATGATGACCTTGTTGCAAAGAACTTCGCTTGTTATATATCACCCACAGAGAACAAAAGCCTGAATTACTTAGAGAAGCCGAGATTGAATATAAAGTCTGCTTCCTTCTCCGATAAACTCAACCCTGCACTTACTCTTTGGCCTATGTTTTTGCGAGGAAAAGATGTTCGAGGAATAGACAGTGAGTAGATTTTCACCAATATATATTTCCTTTAAGTAATTTTATTTATAGTCATACTGATGTCAGTTGTACAAACTTTTCTTTTCTTTTTTTGAGACAGTCTCTTTTTTTTTCTTTTTTGAGACAGAGCCTCAAGCTGTCCCCCTGAGTAGAGTGCTATGGCATCACAGCTCACAGCAACCTCCAACTCCTGGGCTCAAGCGAGTCTCATGCCTCCGCCTCCCAAGTTACTGGGACCACAGGCGCCCGCCACAGCGCCTGGCTATTTTTTTTTCAGTTGCAGCCATCGTTGTTTGGCCGGCCTGGGCTGGATTCGAACCCGCCACCTTAGGTGTATGTGGCTGGTGCCTTAGCCCCTTGAGCCACAGGCGCTGAGCCGAGACAGTCTCATTTTGTGGCCCTTGGTAGAGTCCTGTGACATCACAGCTCACAGCAACCTCAAACTCTTAGTCTTAAGCGATTCTCTTCCCTTAGCCTTAGACTACAGGTGCCCACCACAACACCCTGGCTATTTTTTGGTTGCACTTGTCATTGTTGTTTAGCAGGCCTGGGCCAGGCTTGAACCCACCAGCTTCGGTGTATGTGGCTGGTGCCCCTACCACTGAGTACAGGCACTGAGCCGTTACATACTTTTTCTTTACGTGGGACAGAGACTAGGAGTCTGTTTAATATTTAAAGTTTAATCCTGATGAGCTTGTGACAAGTCTTGTAGTTGGTACAGTTTGTTTTTAGACCAGAAAAAACTGTCCTCAATTTCTTAGCAACATTGAGTTATGTATTTAGAAGTCCAGATGTTTGTAATTTAAACATATTAGCCAGTCAGGGCTTAGAATATTAAGTTTTTACTTTCAAAAGAACTGTTCATTACAAATAACTCTTATCATAAAAATATGAAAGACTTAGTAGTGGGCTTTGGACACAATTTTAAATGTTTCTCTCTGCATTCTGTGTTCAGTCCCCTCACATTGCTTCCCCAGGTAAGACCTCCTGTAACCTTATGGTAAAAACAAATGCAGAGTTATACTAACAATTCACATTTTTATTTTGGATTTTATTTCATGGCTTATTTCTGAAGTTTCTCTTTTTCTATCAGATTCACATGGTTTAAATTTCCTGACACAATCTTTCCGGCATACGTGGTGCAAGGCTGTGGTCACTGACCTTGCACCCACCTCGGCAGTACTAGGTGAGTGTGACTAGTTTAATTAATTTCTCATGTAACATAAAAGAATACACTTTATTGTCTAAAGATTTTATTTATTTGTTTAAGACAGACTCTCTCACTTTGTCACCCTCACTAGAGTGCTGTGGTGTCATAGCTCATAGCACCTCAAACTATTGGGCTCAAATGATTCTCTCGCCTCAGCCTCCCAAGTAGCTGAGACTATAGGCGCCCACCACAATGCCCAGCTATTTTTAGAGACAGGGTCTCGGTCTCACTCAGGCTGGTCTTGAACTCATGATCACCACCTTGGCCTTCCAGAGTGCTGGGATCACAGGCTTCAGCCACCTCACTGGGCCTCCTTGGGGTTGTTTTCTTGTTTGTTTTGTTTTGTTAGCAGGTCTGATGCCAAACCTGCCTCCTCTGGGGGCACAGGGCCAGTGCTCTAACCATTGAGCTGCAGGCATCCAGCCTGTCTAAAGATTTAAATGTCATTGAGAAGAGCTGTGGTAATTCTCTTATTTCTTAATTCAGTATAACAAACTTATGTTAATTGGCCTCCCATCTGTATTTAGAGATGTTACTGTAACATACAGAGCACAACAGGCACTGGTTCACATGTGGGCTGATTTGTTCCAGCCAGCCACAGACCAGGGATTGTTATTATCATTTGTCCTCAGTGTGTACATATGCATTTATGACTGGTGTTTATTTAACCAACAGGGTTCATAAAAATAAGGAAGACATATTTTTGAGGGCAGAAATACCTAGTTCTTAATTGCATGTCATCAAGATCGTTAATGAGGCCAGGCACTGTGGCTCATACCTATGATCCCAGCCCTTTGGAAGGCCAAGGCAGGTTGATCACTTGAGCTCAAGAGTTTAAGACCAGCCTGAGAGGCTCGGCGCCTGTGGCTCAAGTGGCTAAGGTGCCAGCCACATACATCTAAGGTGGCGGGTTTGATTCCACCCCAGGCCTGCCAAATAACAATGACAACTACAACCAAAAAAAA